AAACAACCTATGTAGACAATTAATATCATACAGATCATGGTTTCATGTAAATCAGCAACATAACAGATATCACAAGTCTATATACATCGTCAATAAACCAAACAATAACTGTTACTTTTTTCACCAGCTACTAATATCCATGGGGTTCATAGGGATGTCCCGGCTACACGCGAACCCTTTCTTTTAACAATCTCAATTACAAGTTGTCCCCATACCCCGTCCGGTATGAGCACCAAATTATTAAACCTCAATATCTCGTCTGGTATAAGGGTAAAGCGGGCCGTTCCCATACCCTGTCTGGTATGAATGCCAAATTATCATGTCTCCATACCCCGTCCGGTATGAGACAACATTCACGGTAGGGTTCTCTATGTACCCGATCCGTCCACCATCTCCCAAGATATCCAGTAAGGCTGTTGTCTTCATCTATTCATCTCCCCACACAATTTTTCCATTTTCGTTAGTCTCCATTTTTCAAATCAACCATAATCACACAAACAAACAAACATTCATAAGGGAATACAAGCATATCTCAATTTTCTAACTAAACAGTGATCACGTAAGACAGCAATACATGCATTCAAACTATAAAATTAATAAATCAGATGCTATCATGTTTTTAAACTGTAAAATAAATCAACAGAAATCAACAGAGAACAATTTCCAGTTTTGGTTTCATTAGCAATCCGTAATTAATTATGCACATTTATTAAATTCGCACAAAATATAATATTATTATTTATTTAAACTTCAATTCTGTGATATGGAATAGGGTGAGGAATTCTTACTCGATTTGATACCCGAAAAGCTAAGCTGTTCGACTGTGCCTACGGGCGATTCTCGGGTTCTTGAAATTTTTTTTCGGGAATTAAAATGCACTAATAGTACATATAAATGTCCCAAAAAAATCCAAAATCAGTCACGGGGCCCACTTGGCCAATTTTAAAATTCTGGCACGGCGGCAGTCTACCTTGGGTCGGCTGTTTTCGGTCATTTTCAACTGATTTTGCATCGATCCCTACAAGAAAATACTTTGAAGGACCTCGGTTGACCGAAAAAACACAAAAAATCGAAACTCACCAACGGTGGGGCTCTCCGGTGCGGTGGCTCTTCCGGCTCACATTGTGGTTGGGCATTTTGCTCCGGGCAACCTATAGAGAAGGACACGGTGATCACAACAGTAGAAAAATTACACATAAAGGAAATCGAGAAGGGCCTCATCAGAGGCGTTTTGTGAAATTTTCTGCGGTGATGCCACTGGACTTCGTCGGTATTTTTCGACTAATTGGTTGGTCTGTTTGCTCCGATTTGGTCATGGGTGAGCTTAAAATTAAATTTCGAGTAAAAGAAAAAGTTTTTACCTTTTTTGGCAGTCAGAAAGGGTTCCGGTGCGGCGGCAAGTGTCGACGGGTGGCAGCAGCTCCTTCCCAGCGCCCAGGTCTTCTTCTCCGATGAGGGGTTCTGGCGGCTAGGGTTAGAGTTTGGTGCAAATGTGAGTTATTTATATCTGTTCACTTTTGATCTGGGTCGTCCATCACGTTTGCTCTGAACTGTCCGATCGCGATTAAATAGGAAGTAAATCTGGGCCATTCATCGCGATCCAATCTAGACCATCTATCGCGATCTAATCTGGACCGTCTGATCACATTTGAATCTAGCCGTTTGATCGCGTTTGGGAGGGAGCGCATCCAGGCTGTCCATGCGCGCGGGAACGGACCTGAGTCATTTGATTGCTGGCACGCGGATCGCCCGCATGGCACCGCGTCAACAATGGGTGCATCCTGGTTCATCGGGGCTGCTGACGAAGCATCCTACGTGGTAATTTTTTTTTAAATTGCGCTTTAACCTCCGATTTCTGATTTTTCTTTCAAAAATACCCACATAACTCAAAATTTTACCTCTTTTTTCCAAAATTACTTTCAATTTCATCCTCCATCAATTTTACTTCTTTTTTTACTCTAAATTAAAATTAAAAATTTAAAAATTAAGAAATTATATTTATAAATAATTCTTAAATTACATTAAAATCAAATTTAGGGTATTACAACTCTCCTCTTCTTAAAATAAAGTTGGTCCCTTAAATTTATCTCTCTCACTCTCAATCAAACAATTGGGGATATTTGGCTCTAAAGTCTGATTCTAGTTCCCATGTGGCCTCTTTCGGTGTGTGATTCTGTCATAGGACTTTAAAAAAGAAAATTTCTCAGATGCGAAGTAATCTGCTCTTTCGGTTCATAATGCCGACCGGTACTTCTTCGTATGACAAATCCTCCAGAAGTAAAAAAGGCTCATGGGGCAGGACGTGAGAGGGGTTCGAGTTGTACTTGCCTAGCATAAACACATGAAACACATTATGGACCCTGAAAAATTCTGAAAGCAGTGCCAGTCTGTAGGCGGCGGTACCAATTCTGTCTAAAATTTCAAATGGTCTAATAAATCAGGGATTCAGTTTCCCCCTCTTACCGAACCTATTGATTCCCTTGAAGGGAGTGACCTTGAGGAACACCTGATCGCCTTTCTCAAATTCCACATCCCTTCTCCGGATGTCCGCATAGCTTTTTTACCTGCTCTGAGCCGTCTGAATGTTCTTCCTAATCTTAACTATTTTGGATGTAGTCTCCTATACCAAATCTTAGCCGAACAGTTTTTTATCGCCAACTTCTTCTCAACAAATTAGCGATCTGCATGGGCGCCCATATAACACCTCATACGGAGTCATGCTGATACTCGTTTAGTAGCTGTTATTGTAGGCAAACTCTATCAGGGGTAAATGGTCATCCCAATGGCTTTCGGAGTCATAACACAAGCTCGGAGCATATCTTCAAGTGTGTGAATTGTCCTTTTTTATTGTCCATCACTCTGAGGGTGGAATACAGTACTAAGGGACAATTTTATTCCCATGGCTTGCTGAAAGTTGGACCAAAACTGAGAAACGAACCTGGGGTCCCTATCGGACACTACTGTCACTGACACTCCATGTAGTCTGACTATTTTTCGGATATACATTCTTGCTAACTTGTTCAAGGGATCGGTCATCCTGATGGCCAAGAAGTGGAAAAACTTTGTAAGTCGGTCGATAATTACCCAGATAACATCATGTCCTGAGCGTGTCTTAGGTAATTCTGTTACAAAGTCTATGATGATATGTTCCCACTTTCAATCCGGGATCGGTAATGGCTGAAGTAACCCGTCTGGGCGTTGA